TTTGGAAGTGGGCAGGAGACAACAGGATGGCATTCAATGTGGATAAGTGCAAGGTCTTGCACTTGGGGTGTAGGAATGGGTGTCATAAGTACAGGTTAGGTGACAAGTGGCTGGAGAGCAGCACTTGTGAAAGGGACCTCGTGGTGCTGGTTGACTGCAGGCTGAACATGAGCCAGCTGTGTGATGCGGTGGCCAAGAGGGCGAACGCCACCCTTGGTTGCATAGCCAGAAGTGTGGCTTCTAGATCGAGAGAGGTGTTACTACCACTCTATACGACTCTGGTGCGCCCGCAACTGGAGTATTGTGCTCAGTTTTGGGCTCCTCATTACAGAAAGGATATAGCCAGGTTGGAGTCAGTGCAGCGTAGGGCCACAAGGTTGGTGGCCGGTTTGCGGGGGATGCCATATGAGTCAAGACTGAGGGAACTGGGTCTCTTCAGCCTGGAGAAGAGGAGACTCAGAGGGGATCTGTTAGCGACATACAGGTACGTGAGGGGATGTCACATGGAAATGGGTAGAGACCTGTTCTCCCCTGCAGAGGAAGGCAGGACGCGCTCCGACAGAGCAAAGCTCAGGGAACCAAGGTTCCATTTAGATGCCAGGAAGCACTTCCTGACAGTCAGGACCCCAAGGGTGTGGAATGGGCTTCCACGGGAGGTGGTTGAGGCCCCATCGGTGAGGGTGTTCAGGGATAGGCTGGCCATGCACATGGTGGGCATGTCGTGAGCGGAGCCGGCTGGAGCCAGGGGTCAGACTAGATGGCCCGGAAGACCCCTTCTGACTCGCTCTGTTTCTATGTTTCACATGGCCAGGAGTTTGATTCTGGTGTGGTTTTGTCTCTTCTTCCTCCAATCACTCCTCACACTTCTCCAGAAAATTACCGAACGGTTTCACCGGAACCCAAGCAAGCCAGCAGATGAGGATGTGGCAGAACGCATCTTTCTGGTGGTGGAGGAGAAGATTCTCTTGACCTATCACTGCAAAGAGAACTACATCACCCCGTCCCGGAGGGAGTTCAACAAACGAGCAGATGTGGACAGCAAAGGGAATAAGATCATTATGACCCACGACATGTGCATCAGCTACCAGGTCGGTCCCCATAGGTGCACCGAAGCCAGAAAGCAGAGTGATCTCACCCACACTGACAGGAGAATTATCCTTCCGTTCTTTTCTTTGGCCATTTTGGTGCTGTCACTTTTAACTTTACAAATGTACCAAATGTCACAAAAATGAAGGTCAAATGCTTGGTCAAGATCTCTTCTTGCTGATACCAGAGTGTAGGACATGGAATAATCAAGTCAAGCTGCAACAACCCAGATTCGGGCTGGACATCAGGAAAAGCTTCCTCACGGTCAGAGCAACACGACAGAGGGACCAGCTGCCTGGAGAGGCTGGGGGCTCTCCCACACCAGAGACATTCAGAAAGAAACTGGACAGCCCTCTGAGTGGGGTGGTGTGACTTGGTGTCCTGCAAGCAGGGGGTTGGAAGTGATGGACTTCTTGACCCCTTCCAAAGCTACTTTTCTATGATTCTATGAAATGCAAAAAAGGCTATTTACACTGGGATTATAAATAGCAATATAAGTTCATGTTTCATGATAAAATTCATTCAGATTTCCATTTGGGGCCTCCCCACCAAACCCACCCCTCCTTGCAGATGAACATGGGTACAGAACGGAAAGGACTTCTAAGTAAACACCAGACATGCCCCAAAATTGTCTAATCTGTCTGTTTCCCCCTTGTTTGTTTTCAGGCAGGATGCACTGAGAAAGAAAAGAAGTTGTTCCATCTCTATGAAATGATGCATCGCCTAATCGAAGAGGAGAAATGCTCACGACACCAAGTGTGGGAGTCAGAAATGGAGGTACAGTGGAGGGAAGGAAAATCTCAGCAGAGAACACGTCTGATTTTGTAGCTCTGGAAGGTTTAGTCCACAGACAAAGGTTCACAGATCAGAGAATGACTGAAGACCCAGGGTGTTGTTGTTGTTGTTGTTTTGCAAAGATTGGATCCCTGGAGAACCAGCCCAATCAAAAGAGGTGATACTGAGCTAAACGAACCAATGGTGTGGCTTGGTATAAGGCACCTTCATGAATGCTCTGTAGGAATGTTAAAATGGTGCTAGGAAATGGAGGGTGAGATTATAAGAAAATACCACCGTGCACGTGGCACAACATTTACCGTAATAAATTGGAATTGTATCACCTCTGAAATGCAACCGGTCAAATTTGCAATTATGATGGTTATAAGCAGGAAAACGTTCCATGAAAGGAGGGACAGGCGGCAACTAGGATTCCCCCCGAAACGCCCATCACATTTCCCTCCCTCAAAGCATTGGCCTGGTAATCCCTGCCAGTTGCCCATCAGCGACCCGCAGAGAGAGAGAAACAGGGAGTCCAGTGCAGCATCACAGCGTACTTGCCACCCTTGTCTTTGTGGCTGGGTTGTTATATTTATTACAATCCCTCTGTTCCCGGAGGTCGGGATTTTATGGAACAAGTACAAGCACACCTGAATATTTGCTTTGGAATGGTGCATAGATCCCAATGGTGCATTTGCTTTGAAATGGTGGACACACGGTCCTGTAAAGCTTTTTAGTTTTATGGCCCAAGAGGCTCGCAAGCCACGTGAACCCCGCATGTGCTGCGTTCTCCCCGCCCTCACGCCTGGCGTTCAATTTTTGTTTTAATCGCAGGCATGGTTATGGAAGACAGTCAGTAGCATGTACTGAGGCCTGGATGCTTGCTGGGTGAATTTATTTCTACCATTCCTGCTCCATCAAAGGTCCTGGAGATCCTGCGGATTCGAGAGGAGGAGGAGGCAGCCAGCAAGCTGATGGTCTGCATTTACGACACGGAGAGGAATGAAAAGAGCAAGGAACAGCGCGAGGCGATGGTAGGCGAGGGGCATTTTGAATCTGCAGCGCTCCACTCCACTTCGGAGCATCCCTACGTTGCAGGCTCAGCTTCATGGCCATCTCCACCTCTTAGGGACGCCCCAACATGGTCAGGGAAGGAGGCCAGACGGGGGTTCTAAAGTGGGGAATGTCCAGCATCTCACCAAACTCTGCTTCCCAGGACTCTTGGGGAGGGAGCGACCTCAAGAGCCAGGCATGGTGGTGGCAAGAGTGGGCACTCCCGCACTCAGCCCTACGCAGCTATGACACTCACTGGCCAGACTGGGGGCCAGCCGCTGGCCATCAGTTGAACCTCCCTCGCAGGGCTGTTGTTGTGAGGCTAAACATGATGAGGAGCTATGTTGTGAGCTATCTTGGGTTCCTTGCAAGAGGGGAAAAAAAAGTTAGGTATGAATGCAATGTAGAATAGGCAATAAACAGGAGAAACCGGAACAACCGTGGTGGTGAAACTGCTTTTGGTCTCCACTCCAGTGAAGGTGGACCACTGATAGGGCCTGTCATTAGTTCACGTGGATCAGGAAGGCCCAGGGGGTAGGTCCGAGTTTCGGCCCCTGCCCTCCTCAGTTAGGACTGAGAAGGCCCATCCGACATCTGGGTGAGTCACTGCAGATAGTCCGAAGCAGAGATGTCCAGCCACACTTCAGCAGTGGTGGGGTGGAAGGCAACAGGTGTGGGGGCAAGGGGGCCAAAAAGCCGGCATGCTCAGCCCTTCGAGCCAGCACCTGAGGACGTTCAGGCCTTCTGAAGAGGGAAACATGGATCGCAGGTGGTAAAAGGTAGCTTCCTACTTTGTCCCCATAGAGGCAGAACTGAGAGAGGATTTTTCAGTTCGCTCTCCCTAAAACAAGGTGCTGTGGTGTGGTGGGGAGACGGCCGGCCTGGGGCCGGGGAGGTCCAGACTCCAGTCCCACTTGGCCATGAAGCTGCCTGGCGACCTTGGGCCGTCCTGGCCGCGCAGCCTGACCTGACTCTCAGGGTGGTGGTTGTGGGGATAAATGGCGCCGTGCAGTCTGCTCTGGGTTCCTCACAAGAGGGAAGATGCAATGTCACAATAATACCGAGAGCATCAAACTTCCCGTGAAGCCTGCATAGCCACCGAGTTTGATGCTTTGCCTTTGGTGGCCCATCCTCTCGTCGTGGGTGGACTGAGCTCCTCCCCGGGCTTCAAGGGTGGGCGCGGTGAGCTGCCCAGGGGCTGACCCGGTCCCTCGTTCTCCCCAGGAGCGCCTGCAGCAAGAAGAGCGGCAGCGGCAAGTGGAGCAGGACCTGGACTACCTGGCCCCGTTCCTGATCCAGATGGGTGGAGTGGAGAAGATGTCCAAGTGGCTGGCCTTGCGCCTCAAGGAGGACTGCCTGAGCGACTTCAAGCACCGCCTGGTGGACAAGGCCAACCTCATCCAGGCGCGCTTTGAGAAGGTGCTCAGCCACAGCATAGCGCTTTCCCCAGCCTGGCGCCCTGGGAAAGGGGCGCAGGCATTTTATAACACAAAAACACACAACATTTTCCCAACAGCACACTTGTAGTCCAAATCATTGGGGCCGGGGCGGGGACACCAAGTTGGAGAAGTCTTTATTAGGCAAAACTGAACTCAGTGATCTGTCAAAATTCATACCACTCCAGATTTGACAATGGAGTTTATGGACAAAAATATGGACAAAAACCAGCTATTTCAGGGAAATAGCTTCCAGAAAGGCTGTACATTAGAAACAGCTGTTGCAACAAATGGGTATATTTAGTAGAAATGCACACAAAAACAGATTTGCAAGAGGGCATTGCAAAAAAGCATCCTCCAAGTTCAGAATGAACATGTGGTCACTTATCAGAGTGCAAGCCTTGCCCAGTTTGGGCCACACATTTGCTTTGGGTGCAGCTGGCTTCTCTCCCTCCGAACGGGCTTCTTGGTGTCTGGCAGATGTGGCTCCTTGTTCAGGCGGAACCTGAACATCAGCGAGGAGGTCCTTGAGGCTCCACAGGTAGTGCAGGGAACTTTTCCCATGTCCAAAAGCCAGAAGAATGTCTTGGAGGCCTTCCTCCTACTTTCGGCTTGATAGAAAAAGCACCAGGGATGCTGGCTGTGAAGCTGCCTTCCCAGGCTCTCAGGAGCTACGGCTGGCCTTCCCAGTGACCTACTGAAATAGTTTTGTTCCGAGGGGGTGGGAGGGAACCAGGGTGCATCCCCAAAGGCTGTGCAGTAGCGGCAGGGGAGAAAAGGCCTGCTGCCATAAAATCCATGGGAACAGGTCGTCTCATTCTCGGCCTGGAGGAAGGCATTCTATAGGCTACAGGGGATAGAAGCACAGAAACGGAGCGAGTCAGAAGGGGCCTCCTGGGCCACCTAGTCTGACCCGCGGCTTTTTGTTAATGCTGCATCCATCATCTTTGACACAGGTTCTTTTGTGGCTCCTTAAGTATCCTTGGACCCAGAGTAGGGTGCCTTGGCTAGACCAGTTCCCCCCAGTGTCCCCATCTCCCAACGCGTTCCCTGCCTCTCCCTCCTTGCTCAGGAAACCCAAGAGCTGCAGAAGAAGCAGCAATGGTACCAGCAGAACCAGCTCAACATGACCTTGGAGGATGAGGACGCCTACTTGAACTACTGCTCTGACGCGATGTTCCGAATCCACATCTTGGAGCTCCGCCTTAGCAGGTATGCAAATGCAGCTCTCGCCCTCCGGCACTGGGGGCCGCGGGCTCATGTGCAGCAGTTCCCGGGAACAGGGGTGCGGTGCTGTGGCATTCTTCCTTCGCTTGTGGGATCCCGTGCTGGAATGCTGGACTGATCCGGCAGGGCTATTCTTATCTTCTGAGTTTAACACGGCAAGGAATTCTGGAGGTTTGGGCCAGTCAGCAAGCTGCCTGACCTTGCCAACGCCAGCAGTCCAGCTGGTGCAATCCAGTGCAAGTTTAGACTCGACCCTTGTAGGCCCCCTCTCCAGGCTCAGCTCACAAGCAATTGTGCTGTTAATGATGCGTAGTCAGTAACACGGACACCCATCCATAGATTCTTATAGCTGAAAGGGGCCTTGAAAATAATTTTGGACCCAACAGTGGATCTTGGGGTGAATTGCAAAACATTAGCAAGACTTTCGAAATCCTGGCTGCTCAATGATTGCCAGAACCAAAGGGTGGTTCCCCCAGCTGCCCACTCAGCCTAAAATAGGTTGCTAATATGAAGAACGGTTACAGGGAAAAGGTGGGTGGTTTGTGCACGAGAGGGCCGCACACCCCTGTCCTGCCCAGACAGAAAATCCCCGGGCTCCAGAAGCACCCCTTCCTTACCTCCTTCCTTCCTTCCTTCCTTCCTTCCTTCCTTCCTTCCTTCCTTCCTTCCTTCCTTCCTTCCTTCCTTCCAAGTGGGGAGCTCTTCCGGCCCGCCCGTCACCCCCGGCGCTGCGTTGCTGTGCTGCTAGCAAAATAAAATCCAAAGCAAGAAGACCGGGCCAGCCTGGACACCTAACCGCCCTTGAACTGGCCCAGCACCAGCTCCAGGCAGGGTCCACAGTGCAAGATGCAGGACGGTATCCCAGACCAACAGCCGTTCGGTCTCTGCCCCAGCGCCGCCCCGGCGTTGAAGCTCCGTGGCCACGTGGGGGCTGGCGCATGGATCTCCCAAGCCCCGTTCGGCCTCTGCCCCAGCACCGTCGCCATTCTCAGCTGTGGCGCAGTGGGGGCAGCAGGGATGCTGGCATCCTCGCCCACCCTCCCCAGAAATCCCGGGCTTCTCTGCACTTCTGGGCTGCAGCGAAACGAAATCCCCGCAATGAGAGGCCCGTCCCGCGGTTGTGATGTGGTGTTCTGCGGTGCTTTGCCCACAAGCTTTGCCTGCCACTCGTGCGGGGGGAAGCGGCTGGGGGGGGGTTGGTGGATCTGGGTCAGTGCCACTGCCTGGGCTGTGGGACTGCCACGGGAAGCCCTTGCAGTGCAGAACTGCCCCCCACACCCCTGCTTCGGGGCAGCTGTGCTGAGGAACCCCTCGCCTCTAAACGGCTTCACGGCGGTGCTGGGGTGTGCCCGTCCTTTTTTTAGCAAGCTGAGCTGTACGGCTGAGCCTCAATTGTTTCAGTTGCTACATCTTTGGTGCAACGTCTATGACTGGGATTTTACCTGGTGTTTTATTGTCCTTATTAACTGCCGTGTGCCACCCGGAGAGCGGTGGCTGTCCCTAGCAATAGTAACAACGAGATCTCCCCAGAAGTTTAGCCAAAATCTGCTCCCTGCCATTCCCATCCATTGGTTCTGCACCCGTGGAACAATGCAGGAACGGCCTGCTCCCTCCACTGGGCAAGACTGCCCGCTCTCGCATCTCCCTGGGCTGGCCTCTGGTTTGTGAAGGCCCCTGCCAAGGGCCCTCAGCAGCCCCTCCCTCCAAGAGCCTGCCTCCTCCCCAGCTGTGCCCATACCTCATCCTTCCTTTCCTCGTCGCTCCCAACTTTTCCTGGAAAGGCCGAGTGCTGGGGGGCCATGCCAAGCCCTGCCCGCCCCTCCTGCGCCGCCATTGTCCGCTTGGCCCCCTTGAGGCAGGGCCAATGGGGAAGGGCGGAGAAGCACACGCCTGGGGCTCTTGTGGCGCCCCGGCCAGCTGCCTGGTCCCGCCCCCACGTGGCCGCTCCTCTCTCCCAACTCGGCACAAGCAAGGTGGACCTGCTCTTCACAGGATGTGGTTTCCCTTCTTTCTTGGTCTTGTTCCCCCTCCCCAGGCACAAGGAAAAAGCGCCGCTGAAGTACTTGGCACTGGAGGAGAAACTCTGCAAGGATCCCCGCTTGGCTGAATTCCTCAGATGCTACTTTTGAGTTATTCCGAGAGTCGCGCCTCGGCGTGAATGGGGGCGCCCTGGTGGAGCCGTTCGAGGGGAAGCGCTGTTTTTATTAGCCTTGCTGCTTCCTTGCAGGGGAAGCAGGGGGCTGCATGCACGTGAACACCAGGATCAAAAGACAAATTTAGCCCCCAAGTCAGCTGCAGGACTACATTTATATTTCTATGTCTCTATTTCATCAGGCGCATGTCACAGAAATGCAACCGCAGACCGGTCTCTTACGCATCCATGCCCGCGACATGGAACTGGCCCCTTGTGGCTCTTTCACTGGATGGCTTCGCTCCCAGTAAATGTTTTCCCTGGCACCTTTCCCGTGTTAATGCAAACGCATCAGTCGGCACCACAGATGGGTAGAACACGGACTGGTTTAAGATCTTGTCTATTTCCAATCCTTCCTCCTCACCAGCGGAGCTTCAGAGATGTTCAGTGCGATCGGGGAAGGAGTGGTGCCAGTCAGAGCATCTCCTGCAAGGGATGAGCAGGGCTGGTTCCACGGAGGGGAAATCCCTCCACAAATATTCTGGACAGGAGGGACTGTGCTCTGTCCAGTGGCTGGGGAAACATAGAAGCAGAGCGAGTCAGGAGGGGCCTCCCGGCCATCTAGTCTGAGACGAGCGATGCAGGGCCAGCTTCTGGATTCAGGGAATCCTGGGAAGATGCTCTTCTCAGAAAGTCTCTCTCCCATGGAATTACGGGTACAGGGTTGCCCCTTTGAGTGCCAGTGTGAAAACCGGGATCCTAGGAGTCAGGCATTAGTTGACAGGGCTGGGCCACCCGGGGAAAAGAGTCAGGGAAGGGAAGAAAGTTGCGGTCCTTCCATTGCTAGAGAGCAGGTGACTGGGCACCGAAGGATGCCAGAAAAAACAAGTTACGGTTTCGGGAGGAGCGGGTCTCAGGAGCTGCTGAGGGGAGCTTGTCTTTCGCCCCTTCTCACCGCTCTGCTTCACTTTCTCCAGCGGGACCAGCTGCCCCGGGGCTGGATCTGGCCAACTTTGCTGCTTCAGTGCCTCGGACCTTTTTTCACTTCTGCATACACCACTTCGCTTTCTGGCTGTACTTCCCGTTTGTTGAAGCGCAGGTGGGCATAGGTCACGTCACTCTCTTTGGTGGTTAAGGGAGGATGCTGAAGATGAGAAAGCAACCCAGAAAGGTTTTAGTCTAGCTCTGGTTTGATGCACACGGGGTCTGCAGAGCAAATGGTGGCCGGGGGGGGGGGGGGGGGGGAACAGGACGAAACTGCACAAAGCATTGCGAGAGTTTGAGCCCCTCCAGGCAGGAATCGGGGTCCCTGTCCCTGCTCCATGCAACGGACAAGGCACTAGTCCTTATGGGGAGAAAGACGTGGAATAGCATAAAACAGCTTGCTTCCCCTTCCTACCGCATTCTATTCTGCAAACACACATACCCTTCAGTGTTCTAGAGAAGCAGAATAATTAGTTGCAACACAACCAGTGCACCACCGTTTCACTCCTGCTAGCCTGGGTGTGTGATCACAAACAGGATTTGGGTCCAAACAGGGCCACTGCAGAATGAAGGGGTAGCAGAATTCCCAGGAGATCTCCGAGGTTTGCAGACATTTTGAAAAGCTCTTAGAGAGCCAGTGTGGTGTAGTGGTTTAAAGTTAATGACTGAGACTCGGGATGCCGGGGTTCTAGTCCCCATTCAGGCATGGAGCGCACTGAGGAAATTTGGGCCCAGCACAGCTGCCAAACCTAACCTACCTCGCAGGGTTGTTGTGAGGATAAGATTGGGAGGAGGAGGAGAATGATGCGAGCTACCGTGAGTTGCTTGAAAGGTAAAAGGAGGGGTGTAAATAGAATAAATTAATTAAAATACTTTGAAAAAGAAAACAACCAAAGGAGCAACACCCCTCCTCCAAAAGAATCAAAGGAAAAGTTGGTCCTTTAGGACCAAGCATGCTCAATGGCTGAAGAACTCGGACCAGGACTTGGAAAAGATCGAGGAGCGCCGGAGCCAGGGCTGTGCCAGCTGATGGGCTGCAGCCTCACGTGCATTTCCCCCATCTCTGGAAAAGCTTCGCAGTGACTAATTTAGGGAAAAAAAACATATTGTGGGTTTCAGGAAACGAAAAGAAATGTGAAGTCGAATAAAGGGAATCTGGTGTCATTAAAAAAAGTAAAAGAGAAAAAGTGGACCAGTCCTTGAAGTCGGGTGGCTGAGGCCCGGCTGATGACGAAATTGGCGCGCTTGATTTTGCCCAGTGAGAGTTGGAGAAGGCCATCGTGCCTGAAGCCCCGACAGAGGCAGCACCTCACGAGGAGGTCTTGCGCTTGGGACCCTGTATCCAAAAGCCAACCCCGCAACCTGGCTTGGGGGTGGCTGAGCAGACAGCTGCACCTCCTCCGGACTCCCTGCCCATTGAGCAAACACCGAGCCCACATCCAAGCAAGGGAGCCCCGAGGGAAAAGACCCCGCGAGTTCTACTCAGGAGACGTCAGAGCAGGCTGTCCCTCCTCCCACTGATGCTGAACTTCCTGAATATGACCCAGGAGACACAGGGGGCGTGATAGACTTTTCCTGAGCAACTGATCGCAGAATTCTTAGAAGATACGAGCAAAGGCAGAGCTTGTTATGCCAGAGGGAAGAAAGGCGTGACCAGGAGGGCTAGTTCCACGTGGGAGGATTAACATCTGCATTCCAAAGACCTCAACAGAAGAGCTTATCTGTAGAGTTGTAAATCTGGTAGACAAGCAACAATAACGGACTTTAGTTTTATTGCTCATGAACATGTGGGTTGTTCACATGTTGAGCAGCATCTCAACCAAGGCGGAGCTTTCTCTCTCTGTGAGGAAATAAAATGCCTGCAGACCCCACTCCTGCGACACCCGTCTGGGCTGCTCTCGTCTCTGCAGGGAGGCAGCAGCTCAAGGGACAAATGTGGTGCCTTGGCGACTGCCACATTTGGCGATGGGAAGTGTCCGTAGGCTGGAGGGTGCCCCTGCCTGCGCTCCTGGTCTTAGCCTAAGTGAAGCTGTGCATTCTGCAGCTGCGCAGGCTGGGTTGGGGGGGGGGCAGGCATTAAACCTGCCGCTAGTTAAACTTGGCCCATGTCTAAACCCCTTCTGGATATCTCACCCAAAACTCACCAGTCAGGTGGTGAAATTATAGCATCAGCTCCTCCCCACCCACTTTCTCAATTATTTTTTCATTCTCTCCTGTTCTGGTTTTTAACTTGTGACCAGTTCTGAATTCTGGAGGGGTGGGAGGGTTGCCATAATGATGGGCTGAGCCGCTCCCCCCCCCCTGCAAAAATAAGAGGGTTGTGATTTGCAGGAAATCTGCATGTGCTGATTTTGTATGTGCAGGGTTAGAGACATCATGATTTAAATAGAAATGCATGTCATCTAAGAACAGGTGGTATGTAATGTTAGTCCTGTGTAGAGTAGACCCCTTGGAATGAAACAGACTTTTTTTAAAAAAAAGCTTTTCTAACCCATCCACCACTAGCATCTGCGGTTGGCTCACATGTAGTCATAAAGGACTAGGTCCATTCATAATGGGACTACACTAAGAAGAACATTCCAGACATCCATAGTGTGGGAAATTGAGAGCAGGTAACCTGTATGTTTCCCTCTACCTTGTGTCCAGGTTCTACTCTTGCATCTTGTTATGGTTTATTATCATTAAATCAGACTTGGAAAGGATGGTTATGCAAACTGAAATGAAGGACTGTTCTGTGTAAAAGAGGGCATGTGGCCACCTTAGCCACCATGAAGCCTTGATAAAGATGAAGCGTTTTGCCAGCCCCAGTGCACAGGGGTCTTGGCAGCAGATGTGGCTGCAGCTAGTGAGGCCCAGACCAGGTCTCCCTGCACAGTAGAAGCCCCAGAGCAGATGAAGCAGGACCCGTGAGAGCCTTAGACAACCTGGGAAGCTGCTCCACCCCATGCAGAACTTCCTTACATGCTGTTCGTGATGCAGCCATCGTCCCTCTTACCTTCTGGAGTTCATTTTCTGTGCCTGCAGGAGTTTCTAGAGGGAGAGGAAACAAACAGTAATGAGCAGCTGCTGTGCTTGAGTCTCCCTCTTTGAGGCACACCTGAATGGGGCGAGGAGGACTGAGGGCTCCAGAGAAGCCGAGAACGATCTCTCCAATAGTGATGGGGGAGAAGGCACTTCTGGTGGGCACCTACTGAGCAACAACAGTAGCTGAAGGCAACGCTGGTGGAGGGCTTTTCAGACAACTGCAGTGACACTCACGCTGACTCTGGGTCCTTCTGCACGGAAGGTGGCCATGGCAACCCACTTTTGCCTTTTCTTACCTTGAAAACCCCATGATGGAACAATCCAAAATGAAACAAGAGACAGTGCTAGAAGATGAGTCTCCTGGCTCAGAGGGCACTCCACTGGCTACTGGCCAAGAGCCAAGGACAAGAATGAATAGAGTTGTCACTGATGCTGCAATTAGATCAAAGCTGAAAGGAAGGCCGATGCACGGAGGTAAAAGGAGAGACTGATGCTTCACAGCACATGCAATGGAGATGTGGAACATGAGAAGTGTGAGTCAAGGCAACCTGGAAACCATCGAGTGAGGAACAGAACAGCTAATCACGGCAGTGCGTAAAGTGGAGTGGGAGGGGGCATTTTCAGCAGACAAGCACAAAGTGCTTTACTCCGGAAATGAGAACGGAGAAGAAACGGAGAGGCTGCAATACCCGGGCAAGATGCAGTGCAGGCGGGAAGGGACTGTTGTGCAAAGCCTGACCAAATCGGATCAATTAGAATTTGTGGAAAACCCATCAACATAACCATCGTGGGAACACAAGAAGAGCCATGAGGGATAAGCCAAAGGTAACAGAAATAGTGTTAGGATCCTGAATGCAACTTTTCAGCAGCCGTCACTTAGAGACCAAACTACAGGCAGTCCCTAAGTCACAAAAAAGTTCCATTCCTGAGATTACAGAAATTCGTCTTTAAGTTGAATTAGTATGTAGGTCGGATCACATCTAGTCAGCTCTCCACATTTGTGGGGGTTGGGGGTGCAGAATCCTTGTGAAAGTAGAAAAGCCACCGATATCTCTACCCCACACCCAAGCTCACCAGTGCCTCCTCTGCAGCAAGGAAATGCTGAGAGATTTCCCTTTCTGGATGAGCAGGGCAGGAAGGCCTGCTCTGGGGGCCTCCCTGTCTCCCCTTTCGCTTCCTGCCTCTCTATGGTGGTACTTTGAAGGCCCGCCCTCTCTCCTTTTTCACTTCCTCCCTCTCTACAGTAATGACAATATTCTACAGTAATTTTAAAGAATTAATTGGTTTTATGGCAGTTCATTCATAAGTACAAGTTGTTCGTAATGCAGACATTTGTTACCTGGGAACTGCCTGTATTACAATGACCAGTGCAGAGGAATAGAAGAGAACAAAAAAAGAGGAAAAATAAGAGGAGACCCAAGATATCAAAGGAAAATTCAAACCTAGGTTAGGAATGCTGAAAGACAAATGGGAGGCATATTATCTGACTGGGAAAAAATAAAGAGAAGGTGGAAAAAATATGCCGAAGAACTACACGAAAGAGATGAATGACACGAGGAAGAAACTGTAAAATTAGGAAATGTAGTGAAAGCCACCCTGGAAGCAATTGGAAAGAAGAAAGCATCTGGAGTAGAGAGGGTACCGATAGAACCATTTCAAGCTGCAGAGACTGAATCAGTACAAAACCTAACGGGAATATGCCAACAAATGTGGAAAATAAAACCATGGCCCACAGACTGGAAACATTCGATCGGCTTTCCAAGAAAGGAGATGCAAAAGAGCATAGCAATCATAGGATCTTTGCACTAACTTCGACTGCAAGTAAAGTGATGTTCATGGTGTTGCAGCAAGAAAACTTCCCTGTACAGAGTGAGAAATGTCTGATGTTCAAGCTGGGAAAAGGAAGAGGCATTCCATGTCATAAATATATGTTGGCTACTGGAACATCTTAAAGAATCTCAGAAAAAGGTGAGCCTATGCTTTGCTATAGCAAAACCTTTGATGGTGTGGATCACAAGAAACTGTGGATGGTCCTGAAAAAAATTGGGGCGGCAGGGGAGGGGTGACTCCACAATTGACCGTCCTGGTGGGTAACCTGCATTGTGAACTAGTGTTTGAGCAGAATGGTTTCCCATGGGCAAAGGTGTCAGACAACAGTGCATTTTATCTTGCTATCTGTTCAATTTGTGTGCAGAACATACCCTAAAGAATGCTGGATTAGGACCTGTGGAAGGAGTGAAAATAGGTGGAGAGATATCAGTAATTTAAGAATTGTAGATGGTACCCCATTGCTGGCGAAAGACGCAATGAACTGAAACAACTCCTGAGGAAAGTGAAACAGGAAGTGCCAAGTAGGACTCCAGTAGAACATTAAGAAAACCAAACTGATGACTGCAGAAGAATTATGCAACTTACCTATTAACAATGAAGAAGTGAAAGCTGGGAAAGATTTTGCATACCTCAGCTCAGTCATCCATTCACAGGGAGACAGCAGCCAAGAAATTCAAAGATAACTGAGACTGGGAAGGGCAGCAATGAAGAAACTAGAAAAGATAATCCAGTGGAAGGTAGTTTCACTGGAGACCAAGGTCAAGAGCACCGAGAGTATTTTATTCCCGATTCCTCTGCATGGATGTGAAAGCTGGGCAGTGGAGAAAGCTGGCAAGAAGAAGATGGATGAGTCTGAAACATGGGCGCTGGCAGAGAGCTTTGCTGGAGGTTCATCCTGGACCGAGGGAAAGAAGAACAAGTGGGTCCCACATCAAAGCAAGCCAGAAGGTTTGCTGGACGCTAAAAGGACGCAACTGACTTGGTCAGTCTTTGGTGCATCCTGAGAAGGTCAGGCTCACTTGGAGAAGACCATCCTGCTAGGGAGGCTGAAGGCAGAGGAAGGTGGCGGGGATCAAAGAGGCTCCATCAAGGGGCTCCATCAAGGAAGCCACAGCCTTGGGTTTGCGAGAGCTGAGCAGGGCGGGCAAGAACAGGAGGTTTTGGAGAGCTCTCATTTCTGTTGTTGTTGTTGTTAGTCACGAAGTCGTGTCCAACCCATCGCGACCCCATGGACAACATTTCGAGGGTCATCATAAGTTGGAGACAGCCTGACTGCACATACAGCAGCAATTCTTTGGTGGGTATTAATGAATTTAATTGTTCAGTCACACAGATGGGGATGCCCTGAACCCCTCAACCTCCCTAACTGATCAGTGTGGCGTAGGGGTTGGACTCTTGGACCGGGACTCAAGAAACCAGAGTCCTTGTCACTCAGCCATGAAGCTGGAGCACTTTGGGCCAGTCACAGACTCGCAGCCTAACCTACCTCAAAGAGAGGAAGAAGGCCAAGAAAGCCCCTGCGGTCGCCGCAAGAGGGCAAGGTGGGGAATCTAGCCACAGTGCCTTGGTGTGGAACTCCGTGCATGGCACGGCAGTTGCATCCCCACAGCCGCTGGGAATAGCCCTGCTCTGGGGCCACTCCAGCCTCCCCTGATTGGGTGGCCTCTCGATTTGCTGGACTGCAACTCCCATGATTCCTAGCCCACACAGCCAATGTGGGTGGGCCCAGAGCAGGGAGCAGACTCGGACTGCCATGGGAGGGGCAGAAAGCAGCACCCAGGAACTGGGCAAGGTCCTTTTCACCCTGTTGCCTCCCAGTTCAGCCTTGGAGGCAGGCCGCCCAGGTCCACCAGTTGCCGGGGAATTTGGGCAGGAGTGGCCACAGCACTCCTTGTAGGATCCATGGCAGAAAGGATCGGCGAGACCATGGCGAATATGGATTCAGTCCTATTCATTGCGGTGGTCCACTACGTGACCTGGCAGAGTGGATTGCCACCGTGTGACTGGGGGAACCCTGGTCTGACTATGCAAGGCTGTTCCGGTGTGCTTATGGGAAGGAGCGGATTGCAATGCCCATGGGGAAGGGCACTCCGATTGGTGGGCGCAGATGCAGCACAGGTCCTTGGCAGACATCTGGCCATGCCTACCCTTGGTTGTAATGGCACTTTCACTTCCAAGGAGGGGGCCTTGGGTGCCAAAACAGCCAAGCTGGCTTGGGAAAAAGAGTGGCCCCGGGCAGACCCTGCTGCTTTCAGGCGTAGGCAAGTACGTCACCTTTTGCTTTCTTCTTGCATCTCCACACTAAGATGCTGAGCAGCAACAGGAGAAAGAGGATTGCCGCGCCGATTCCTGCGCCGATTGCCACTCCAACTCCACCACCGTGTCTGTTGGTGACTGGCTCGTTCTTTCGTTCTTGTTAGCAAACAAAAGAAAATGAAGAAGGTCATTTTCTCCAATAGAGCAAGGCTGGCCAGGGGCAAGAAAGGCAGAGTTTGGGGCTGCAACTGAGCAGCTGGGCCGTGTCCACGACATATTGCCACCCTTAGCAAGAAAAGAAGAGTATTGCAACTTTGACCAAATCAAATTACAGTCTGTGTGGCCCTCGGGCTGGAAAGAAGCAGTGGCTCTGAGGAGAACTGAATGCGGTTTAAGTGAAGCAATGGCTTCCCTTCTGATGTCCTTCTGTCCCACTTTTCCCTTGACCAAGCAGGTTTTGCAGGCTTTTGTGAGATTATAAAATCCTGCCACAACTGTTTAGCAAGGCTGGAAGTGGGAGGACTGCTTTGTGTGTGTGTGTGTTTGTGCATTTATATGCTGCTGCCTGCTCCAATGGAGGCCCTGGGTGACTTACACTATTTGCGCCATCCTGGAGGTCACGCCTCACCATCGGCTCTCCCCAGTGGGAGGTTATTCCTCTGGGAGCTCCGTCAAACCGAAAGCAGAACTTACAGCATGCAAAGAACTGCTGCTCCCGCACAGCACTGCGGGGGTCGCGGGGGAGGGAAGGGAAGGGAAGGGGGGGCAGCCGGAGCCTCCAAGCAGTGGCCTGAAACCACCCCGGGGGTTTTGCGCTCTCCTTTTTCAGACCCAGACCAGCTTGGCAGGCTGATCGCCAGAGTGGGAAAGGGTCCTTTTGGGGGGTTTTCCAGTTCAGTTACGTTCCCCAAACTGGGAAGGGAAGTGGGAGGACTGAGCAGGGAAAGGGGGGGCGAGGAGGAAGGTCCCTTTGGAAAGGAGGCTGGTCGCAAGGTCTGTGGGATCTCCGAGAAGTCTGCCTCGGCGTCTCCCGCTCCACCGCATGTCCTGCTACACACGAGGCCGGGGAGAGAACTCATTTCAATCAACTTTTGAGATAAATTTCCCAAAATGTGCCCATTTCTCCGTATTCAGAAGAGAAAGATCTTGGGATGCAAAGCCTTTGCATGGAGGAAAAACCAAACTGGGCAGACAGAAATGCAGAAAAAGAGTGAGTCAGAAGGGGTCTACTGGGCCATCTAGTCTGACCCCCCTGGCTCCAGCCAGCTCCACTCATGACATGCCTACCATGTGCAAGTCCTTAAACACCTTCACTGTTGGAGCTTCAATGACCTCCCGTGGAATGAAGCCCATTCCACACCCTCGGGGTCCTAACTGTCAGGAAGGACTTCCTGGCATCCAAATTGAACCTCGGTTCCCTGAACTTTGCTCCACTGGAATGCATCCTGCCCTCCTCTGCAGGAGAAAACAGGTCACAACCCACCTCTGCATGGCACCCCCTCATGTACCTCTATGTTGCTAACAGGCCCCCTCTGAGTTGGCTTTTAATCCCATGGACTAATTAGCTGGACAGGGCTGCAAAGCCTCAGCCTTGGCCAAACCCAACCCATCAGGGTCGCAGCCCGGCCCCTTCTGCTCCCCGGGCTGGGTGCTTGCTCTTGAATGCCTGGCTTTGCACCCACGCCATGTCCAGCCAGGCCTGCCACTGCTTTTTCCCAGGCACGCTTTGCATCCTTCACAGCTCCACGCGGGGAGGCGCAAGATGGCACATTCCGTCCGTCCCGGGGGCAGCTGCTCAGTGGTTGTGAGTAGCCTCGGCTATCGGCTGGTATAAAAGAGGCGTAAATAGGTACGCAAATGGACTGGCCCAAGAGCGTTGGCTGTTGGGCCGTATGGATGTGAGCGGATGCATAAAAGTGCGTTGAATTTGGCCAGTGCAGAGGGGTGAACATTTCGTTTCACTTTGAGAATTCCTCAAAATCTGCAATTTTCCTCATACTCGGGAGGCAAAGACTCAATCATTTTTAGACTGGATACAGGAGAAAATGGAGAGGGTGGAGCTGGCTGAGATGAGCTCTGGTCCCTGCGCTAGGCATCCCCGGGGAGACGCGGGTGGGGGCACGGACAGGAGAAGCACCCCTGTCCCTGTGGTGCCGGGCCCAGTCCCGGAGGCCCGGCATGCCTCCCTTCCTGCAGCAGGATGGCCACTCCAGGGCACGCCCCCCTCTTCCGCCAAGCCAAGGAAAATGCGGGGCAGTGGCCGATTCAGCGGGTTGTGGGCACAAGGCGGGGCTGCCAAAATGCCCCCCCCGGCCCGGAACTCTCTCGAGCTTGGCAGGGCCATGCGCTCCCGCAGGGCCACCGCATCTGCCTGGCCGCTGCCTCAGTGCCGCATTTCCCGGGAGAGGCAGCAAGGACAGCGAAGGGAGCGCCTTACCAAGCACGGTCACCCGGGTCCTATTTCCTTGGCCGCGATTTGCAAAGTTGCACCAATAGAATCCGGCATCTCTCATTCTGACGTTCCTCAGGCTGAAGGTCACCTGGCCACTCCCGGGGAGGCATTCTCCCGTGCCCACCGCAGTCCCGTCTTTGTACCACGTGACGCTGTGCTGGCACCTGGGATAGCTGGCTCCCACCACGCGGCAGCTCAGCGTGAGGTTGTCCCCTTCTCTGCCTTGGATGGAGGCAGGGCTTTGCTGCACGGACAGCTTCGCGGCTGGGGAGGGACACGGAGGCCGTCAGCACGCTCGGTGCACATGCGCCGCCCAGGCGGCGGGGGCCACGATGCTCTGCGGCCGAACTGCAGGAGCGCCCCGAGCCGGGCCGGGCCGGGGGGGCTGCTGCGCACGCTGGCTGCTCTGCCGCCGCACCAGTGCGTGCCCCTCGGCCCCGGGGAGGGCTCCTGGTCGGCTGCCCCGTGCCCCTGAGGGTCGGGAGCAGCCCATCGGAGCGCCCCATTACTTACAGTTTATTTATTGGTTTATTTAAAGTTTTTATACGCCATCCCATTATTAGAAAGTCACTGGGCGGCTTACAAAGAATAGAAACCAAAAACAAACCACCACAACACTGCATCCAATAAATAGCGATAAAAACAAGAATAAAACCAGTTAATGATTAAAATATCAGGAAAATAAAAAGGTCTTTGCCTGACGCCAAAAAGAATAAAGTGGCGGTGGCAGGCGAACATCCCTGGGGAGCGTGGTCCAAAGTCGGGGTGCCACCACCGAAAAGGCCCTTCTCTGAGTAGCTGCCCTCCTGACCTCCTTCAAGGGGGGCTCCCAGAACAGGGCCTCCGCCTCAGGTCTCAGGGGCCGGGCAGGCACATGGGGATGGAGGCGACCCTTCGGCTTAGCCAAGCAAGCACTGGCTGATGGGACTATTGATCTTTTCAGAGGGGAGGGGAGTGGGGAACTGGACTCCACCTGCTCTCTGTCCGCTGGTGAAGGACAGAGAGACAAAGAAACTGTAGTCAGCCATCGCAACGCCAGTAGAATCGCCTGGTGTGGATCCAGCATGTGGAGAACCTTCTGGAACCTCTCTGCTCACCTCAGAATAAGCAGCTAGAAGATTTCCTGCACTCACCTTTGATGACAACATGAGATCTAGGCCCAGATCCGGACCGGTTTCTTGCGCTGTTCTCCACTTCGCATTTGTAGGACCCTGAATCATCCACACGAGCATCCAGCAGCGTGAGGGAAGCCAAGCCCTTCTCCAGATCCTGGCTCAGGACTCGTGAGCCCTCCTGGTTGGTCAGCTCTCCACCAGCGCCATCTCTGCTCCATTTCACGAACATCGTGCTGGTGTTGCCGACCGTCCTGAAGCGACACTCCATGGTGACGTTGGTCCCTTCCTCTTTTTCGACGTGTTCCGGAGTCTGGCTCACCTCAAAATCTGTGATTTCTACAGGGAAAGAGGGCACCATCAGCAGTGCCTCTGAGCATCGCTCCCTCATCCTGGCCAGGAGCAGAGAAAGAGGCCAGGTCCCTTCGGAACATCATGTTCCTCACTTCTAAGGCAAGGCTGCGCTGTGTTTGCTCTTCGCTAGGGAAAGAAGTACTGAACCCTCAGCCGGATGGGCTGCAGAGCTTCTGACCTGGGGCCCAAATCCAGCCCATCAGGGCTCCCACTCTGTCCTTCGTATGTCCCCCGGCTGGTCACACCTTGCCCCGTGTCCCCCTGCCTTTCTCAGCCACGCTTTGGGGTCTGCCCAGCTCCTCTGCACTTCCCCGTTGCAAAACCTCGCAACGGAGGTCCACTCTGACCCCGCGGGCACCACCCTCCGCAGCATCTGACCAAGGTGCTCTTGCGCAGCTTTGCAGCCACGACTTAATGGCAGCGTGTTAATGAAAGCCGTGGAAATCGCCGGAAGGGGCCATTAATGGAGAAGACACGCATCGAAAGGCTGCGTAGGAGCAAGTCCCAGCAACCAGTGGGACTCCCTTCTAAGAAAACCTGTGCAGCATGGCACTGTGAATGCACAGTTGCATTTTGCATACACCTCATGTGTAGGAAGGGTGTGTGTGTGTGCGCGCACATCTCCACAAACCTCTCTCCGGCAACTGGGCAGCCCAAATCCCCCCGAAGTCTACCGGTCGGTTACAGACAATCACCAGTGTGCCGGATTCACGGTTCCCTCATTAAAAACAAATCAAAAACTGGGAAGAAACGGAAAGATTACCGCTAATAATGACTTGTGTCCCATTACTGGAAACCTGGGTCCGGTTGGTTGAGCCGAAAGAACACAAGTACTTTCCAGAATCGACCAGCTCGGCTGCCGTGATGGTGAGAGTACTGGAAATGTTTGCTTCATTCACAATGAAACAAATTTTGCTTGAGTTCTCTAACTGCATTTGTGTGTGACTCATCTTACGCCAGGCAATGAACCACAGCTCTTCCGTGCTGACTCCCTCGACCCGGCACTCCATACTCAGGGTTGAGCCTTCCTCCACATTCAAAAAGGGAGGCGTCTGGATCACGGAAATGGGTGGAGGAGAAGCCTTCCCTGCAGACCCTGCAAGACAAGTTGGAATGGCATCACGAGGTGAACGATTAAACAGACAGAGACACAACGTTTGTGAGGAAAGACGACCAGCTTCCCTGTGCGGGGAAGTAGAGAAATGCAAAAGAAAGGTCAGATCCGGACGCTGATAAACCAGGAAAACCAGTTCTCCCTTTCCCCGCTCTGGGAACCACAGGGCCAGGGCCAGAGCTGCCCTGCCGGGGTCCCCGCTCGGCCCCAAGGGGCAGCCCCACTGGCCTGCCCTGCGCCAGGCTGCCCCTCTGGCAACCCTCCTTGGGTGGGTCTGCTTGGCCTTTCCCCTGCGCTGGAGCTTGGCTAGGCTTCCTGGCGGGGAGCGGGAGGGGGCACAGGTTCAATGAAAGGGACACATTGGCCTCCCCAGGCCTGCTCTTCCGCACTGGGTACCAAGGGGGCACCCGAGGACAGGCAGATGGTACTTGTGATCACTTTGTCCCTGTTTGGGGGGACTGGGGCTTCTCAAGGGAGCCCCTTCGGCTTGGGGAGCTCGCATGCCGCTTTCATCAACTCTCGGGCCTCTTTGCAGCCGTCCTAAGCTGGGTTTCCCTACTGCGATTTTCGGGAACCAGGAGATCTCCAACAGTCCGGGAGAAACAGGGCCCTCCTGACTCTTCCAGCTTCCTCTTGGGGAGGACCCGCCAAGCAGTTAGCTGCCTCGGCGACATTTGCTCCGTGCGACCCGGCAGGACCACGCTGGGCTTCCCGAGGACTCTTCGGACAGGCTCCAGAGAGTGGGCTTTTGCAGCACCAAGCCCTGGTCCCGACGGCCGAATTGCCACTTCCTTCCCCGCCGGGTCCTGAGCCCCACTCTGGTTTGGCGCAGGGCCGCTTCCCCCCAGTCTGGCACGGACGGGAAGCCCAGTCTGTGCTCGGCTGCTGCACAGCTGGAAGGCGGACATGGCCCAGTGCTGCCCGTCCTCTCCCTGGGCGCTTCGTTCTTCTTTGCTAAGTTCCTCTTCCTCCATTTGCATGCCAATTCCCAGCACCGGGCGGCCCCAGCCATGACCCCCCGCCTGGCAGGGGCAGCGAAAAGCTCCCCCCCACACCCAGAAAGGACTGAAACGCCCCCGAGCCAGCTGTCCTCCTCGGATAGTCTTGGGCAGTCTTCTCCAACCCTGTGCCCTCCAGATGCTTTGGACTACAGTCCCCAGCATCCCCAGCACCGGCTGTGCTAGCCGGTGTCAAGGGCAGCTGATGTCTGGGCTGGGGAAGGCTGGCTGAGGCACTTCTTTCCTGAACCACCGAAGAGGTTTCCTGGCGGCCTTCCCGGCTGGAGCCCTCCCGAGTGAGGCGCAGCCCCAAAAGGCGCAGAGGGGACACCGGGGTGGCCAAAACCGCAGGTAAGGCAGAGGCACAGAGCCCGAGAAACGGCAGGCGCCAGCACAGCCCTGAAAATGCAGCGGCAGCGCTCCACGGCACACGGGGCCGAAGGAGGCTGCCTTGTCTCCGCCGGGCCCCCCAGCTCAGGCACGGAGCAGGAGTCAGCGGGGCAGGAGGAAAGGTCCGTGGAAAGGAAGCTCACCTGCGCGCAGCAGCAGGAGGAGAGCGAGGGAGGGCAGGAAGCACGCGGCCGGCCGGAGCCGCATGTTGTGTCTTTTCTCCCCGCTGCTGATGCCACGGGGCCGGACCTCACGAGCCGTGGCTGCAGAAGGGCGTGCTCAGCCAGATCCGGGCTGCTGGCCTTCCAGCATGTGGAACCAGCGGGAACCCTCTCGCAAAGCACTGGCTTTCGCTTTTTGCCTTCTCATCCGCCCCCTCTCCTCCTCTGCCCGCAGTTCCTCTTTTTCTGATCCGTCATTCATCCATTTTTAGACCGGTTTTCTCTTGCTCCTGACCCGACTTTTTTACTGCTGCTGCTCACACGCTTTTGGGATCCGGAGTGCGAGCCCGACAGAAGCCGCAGGCAGTGTGGCTCTTCTCTCGCGCAGGGGGCTTGCATGCTTGCAGGTGCCTCCCCGGCCCCATGTGGCTGGTACCCACTCAGGCCATTGTGGCGGTTCTGTAGGCATGTTCAGAAAAGCTGGGGGTGGGGGGAGGCACATGTGGGCACACCCCAAGCCCCAAGCACCATTGCCCAGTGCCCACACAAGCAGAGGCGAGCGAAAGCATGAAAAGACAAGAAAGCATGTGCTGATTATTCTTCAGGACCTCATGACAGGAGACTCGCATGGCTGAGCTCATAGAATCCTAGAACTGTAGAGCTGGAAGGGACCGTGAGGGCCATCGGGCCCAATCCCGGCTGTTGCAGGACACCGATTCACGCCATCCCACTCAGAAGGCTGCCTGGCTTCTTTTTGAATGTCTCCAGGGTGGGAGAGCCCCCCCACCTCTCCAGGCAGCTGGTCCCACTGTCGTGTTGCTCTGACAGTGAGGAAGCTTTTCCTGATGTCCAGCCTGGATTTGGGTTGCCGCAACTTGAATGGATTCTTCCATGTCCTGCACTGGGGCATCAGCCAGAAGAGACCTTGACCTCCCTCTTTATGACAGCCTTTGAGGGACTTATAGGGTGATCTCATTTCTCCGCTTAGTCTTCCCTTCTCAAGGCTGAACATGCCTGGTTCTCTCTGTCTTCCCTCACAGGGCTGTGTTTCCAAACCTGGGTCATCTCTGTTGCCCTCCGCTGGACCCTTTCTAATTTGCCTGCATCTTTCTTAAATCTTGGTGCCCAGAACTGGACAGTATCCCAGGCGAGGTCTGACTAGTGAGGAGTAGAGGAGAATTGCGACTTCTCGTGATTTGGTAGTAATTCATACTGGATTTGAACGGGAGAGCCTTTCAGACAGACATCTCCTGCAAATCAAGGCCTGTCCTTCTAGAGACTCCATTTCTCGGCCCGTCCCAGAGGGCCAGCATGGCCAACACCAGCAACAGGGGAAGGAACTGGCCAACAATCATCCATCAAACATGTGGTGCTCCAGCCTGAGACCCCAATGCAACACCCCTTTACAAGAACCACCCCCGCTTCTGGGGGAGGGAGGAGACATCACGGCACCAGCCCAGCCAGCAAGGGAGCCTCGCCATAGGAGGATCACATGGTCCTGCACGTTATGGGTCGAAGCTTCCAGATTAGGCTGGTTCCAAGGCTGAACTGTGCAGGACATGGTCTGAGCAGGGCTGGTTCTGGGTTTGAGAGGAGGGCACTAGGCAGCCCCGGGCAATGACACACTCGGCCAAGCAGTGCTGAGCATCTGGGGGCAACTACGGACATTTCCCACAATCCCCCAGAATGGCAGTGCAGCAGAAATATTGTGGGAAATTAAAATAGCATCTGGATCCAATGGTTGGTGCAGTGTGAAGGGCCAGCTTCTGTAAGTTCTGCCTTCATTGAAGTTCAGAACATTTTTAGAGTTCCCACATTTGCTCACCTCATACATCTGGAGGGTGCAGATGTGGCCGGGTGGGTTTTTAATGCTGAATACTAAAGCAGCGTTTGTATAATTCTTGTTGCAAATCCCTCAGGCCAGAATGAGGAAGGAAGGGTTCTTTGAATAATTTTCATATTGCTCATGTCTGACCCCTCCCTGCAGTACCCCACCCCACCCCACCCCACCCCTGATGAGGAGCTCTTGTGGTCAGTAAATAAGGTGTTTTCCTCCTCCGCTCTCTGCTGAGGCTTGATGGAGGAAGTTCTCATTGTGTGTAACATCATGTACAGGAAGAAGATGTGCCGGTCCGTAGGAAGGGGTCGAACTCAACACTTGAGCCCAGCATTTGCTCGGCTTGAACTCCCAGTGCATCCTGGTGCACTCCTAGAGGACGCTGTCTCCCACGTATGGCTACTGGGCACAGAGCAAGGATGGCCAAACAGCCAGGACATGGACCACCTGCGGGAGAGGACATTCAGATGGCTTCCCCTTTCCCAAGAGGGTCTTTTGGATGGGTTGCATTTGCTGGAAGGGCCTCGCAGTTTGCTTGGGAGACGTCCCAGTACTGAGTCAAAACTCCATTTCAATTTACGTTTGGGAAGCAAGTCAGGGTGTCCTCTTAGATTTATTGTTGTTGTTATTTTTATTGCAGTACATTGTATGCAAGCACTGAAGTTACCTCTTGCCCACCCCGAGTTTCCTGACGGTCACAGTTTCATATTTGTGCAGAATTCAGGGCTGAGTTCTGCCACGTGCTCAAGTTTGTGCAAATCACAATGTGTGTGTGTGGGGGGGGGGGGAGCAAATTTGCAGGTATTTTTTTTTAATTACACTCTTTTTAAAAATAGAAGTCCAACGTATGGGTCATTTTGCATCAGGTCAAGTCAGTGCCAGGTGTGGACGGAAGGGAATCTGCTGAATGTTCACCCTCCTATCAAACTCCCACCTGGACTTTTCCTCCTTCCTCAGAATCCAGCTCTTTCGAAGGATGCTTTTCCCCGTTTGGACTCCAGACACACCATTCCCTGAACACAACAGCAGCGTCATCTTTCAGTTTGTTACTCCTGTAAGATGATTTCTATTTCTTAAGAAATCGGAGTTCTGCTTTTCCTTGGCAGGCCAGCCCAGGTATCTACTCACAAGAAAGCCTCACATTCTTCTTGGGAACCACTGCCTGGTATGTGGAGAGAATATTATGAGAACTCAATCAGCAGGACCCTTCGCTACCCTAAGAGGGTCGCCCAGAGGGGGGTGATGCCAGGTGCAATGGAGGCACACGGCCGCTAGAGATGCAAGCGTTTTGCTCCTCAGGCTTACGTTCCATCTTTCCCCCTTTCCGAAGGTGGGCACGCTCCCCGTAATTGTACAGAATTCCAGCCTGTTTGCCCCCTCCACTGACCTGGCCAAACAAAGACGGCAGCTGGTGAGAAAATTCCCCCCAGGGGGCGCCATTATGGGAAATGACCTACAGAGGCTAAAGCAGAAAGAGGCGAATGCCCAGCACACATAGGCAACTAAAGACAGTGCGTGTGTCAGTTATTCCAGGCGTGCCTTTGCGCGTTTTATGAGCGAGGAGCGATGCCCTGGAAGGCCGTGCTGCTGCCGGCAAGTCTCCCAGCATGCGCTTCTCTGAGGACATCTGCAAAGCTGCTGTGGAAGCAGCCTGTTGGGCTAGACCGGCATGCTGCCCAATCTTATGTACAGGCGCTCTCAGGCCCTCCACGAGGCGTTCCGTCCTGCGTGTTATGGCCGCCTTCCCAGCCAGGAGCAAGATTGCTCCAGCATTCAAAATACAAGAACCTCAGACTTCTTGAGGGAGGAAAATCCATGCTGTGTACCAGGAAGAGACAACGCGTAACTCCTCCCCCCAAGTGTTTTGGCCTAGAGCTCCCACCAGCCCTGACCGGCATAGTCAGTGGTGAGGGATGATGGGAGTTGTAGGCCTCTTTTTCTCTTCCAGCATGTGTAGGACAGCACTCTTGGGGGATAAGTAGAGTCAGGAGAGGGAGCAGCTTGGGAAATGGCCCGCTAAGGAGAGGAGTGGTAAGCGGCGTTCAACAGCTGAGCGAGGGAGGCAGCCAGATGAGTGCAGAGAGAATCGTAAGCCAAAGCATCTGTGCAGCCCGTGTCTTGCACTGACTCTTGGGGCTCCACATAGCTTGAGACTGCAAGGTAGACGGCCAGGCTTCGGCGCTTCTCACAGAAGCCAAGGATGCTCCAAAGAAGTGACATGAAGGTGCTACCAATGGTTGGTTTCCTCCATGGCAGGGGAGACTCTTGTTCTGGGATCCTCAGCGGCCTTCCTATTTTCTCTCCGGCAACTCTTTCATGGCCGTCCTCACCCAAGTCGCTTCAGGATCCACACAGATCTGCTTGCCGGTCTTCGTAACGAGCCTTGGAGAGGAAAGGGGAGGGGCCGATTTGAAAGCAGCACTTGGGACATATCTGCAAACACACGCTTCCGCCTTTCTCTGCATTTAAGTCCACTCTTGCTGGGCTAAACTGCAGCTCCAGTTTAGATTCATTTCTTTAACCCACAACATCAGAATTGGCCCCAACAGTGTCTGTCTGTCTGCCTGTCTGTCTATTAAGGTTCTCTGGGTGGTTAAGAGAATTAAAAGAAAAAAATAACAACCAAAGCAATAAACCAATAAACTATTAAACCAATCAATGGGACCAGTAGAACAGTAATAGACTAAAGTAAAACTAACTAAATGGGCAACAATTATGCTGCGGAAGAAGCATGGGGGGATGGATACAGCACAATGTTAAAACCGAAGTAAAAACCTTTCCATTATTAAAATATAAGCACAAAAAGGGGATTTCACCTGGTGCCTAAAAGAGAAGGGAGACGGTGCCAGGTGTCCCTCTTTGGGAAGCTCATTCCACAGCACCAGGTCAGGACTTCTCTCTAGCCTCCCCGACAAGCATCCTTTACACGCTGACTTGGAATGAGCCCCGCTGGCAACAACGGGACTTCATTCCATAGCAGCTCAAGAAGGCTTGCACTGCTGGTGCCCACCCACTGAATCTTTTCTGGTCTCCACTGTCCCTCATCCCTGACTACTGACCATGTTGATGGAGGGCGATGGGAGCTGTAGTCCAAACCTCTAGACGATCTAGAGGTCGCAGCATGGCATTGAATGGGGGAAGAAAGGGAATTTCTGACAACCCCAAATGCATGAACCCTGTCGCAAGTTTAGGAGAATAAATAGCTGTGCTGTACTTACACGATGGCGTTTAAGTAGCAGTCATTCGTGATCTTGTAGAAGGAGGCCATGATTCTACGGGGAAGAGGCCTTCCCTTCCGAACTGCAAAGCAACACTCTTTCGGACAACTGGG